GTCTACCAATCATAACAGAATCTTGTTATTTGTTATAAAATTCCTATATTGACTATATAATCGTACCACTCCAATATAAAACCCTACTGGACAATCTTGAGATGTCCCTGGTACAATCTCAACATCAGAAGCCAGTTCCAGTAACCCGAACATGCAATGGCTAGCTCAACCTCGCCATACTCAAGAACTCCGAAGTAATTGCACCATTTATTCGGTTTCTAATTAAACTTGTGATGTTTCTCAAGACGGACACAATGGATTGAGTTCCCTCATGAATGGCCGTCGCAGAAAGGGACCCGACTGTATATTGATGCAATACAACAGGAGACAATTAATTTTTTAGTTTCCAATTTTCATTCATATTTCTTTACTTAGTTATGATTTTTGAAACCATATATAAAGGGGGTTATGGCGATATAATAAAACAACTTCCAAATGAAATAAAGATTTATTTTTTCTTCCCCTCTCTCTATTCTCTCCCTCTCTTCTCTCTTTTCTCCTCATTTCTCGTCTTCTCTTCTTTTTTCCCTTCTTTTACAATTATCTCATTACATCTGGAGTCATATATACCCCATAGGAAAAGGGTAATATTCCCGGGGCTCTATGACCAAGATTCGTTCAGCAAAATTAAGAATAAATCAGCTGCCAATCCGAACTGCACAACCAAATTTTACCCGCTTCACCCGCAAAGAGTTATCTATAAATAGGATCTCCAAAGCACACAGACATTGCTTATTCTCCTCCCTCTTTTACATTGCAACACATTTTTCATTTTCTTCTCCAAGCTACTTTGCTAACTTGATTGTGGAAGTGCCTTCAAAAGACTCTTCGCATAGCCCTTTTTCCAGTTGATCAAAAATTCATGGACAAAGGAGTTGGATCAGCAAGAATTGCACACACTATTACATACCCGTGTAAGTGCCTCGTGGTATATAGTGTTCGTTGGCATGAAAATGCTAAAACATTTCATAAGCAAAGAACATAATATGCACTCTATCCCCTGAATTCACTAAGAAGAACAAGCTCAAACCCACTTAAACATTTATAAAAAGAAAGAATTATGATGTAACGCGCGTAATTGATCACGCCTATTATCAACATTTTTAACTTTAATACCATTTTGTTTTAACAAACGATAGGGAATGGTTTTCAAAGCAATGTTATTGGGATAGGAAGGAAAATTTCAGATCCGAAACCTTTAAAAGTTACGTATTCAAACTCGAGAGAAATACCAGCAGTTGGCGATGGTGGAGCATCCGCCTCACCCAGCGAACAATTGTTATAAAACGGCGAAACGGGAGACATTATCATCTTGTCTCAATTCCTTCGTGGAAGATGTTAAGATGAATTTAGTGCGTGTTCATGATTGGTGAAGTTAACGATGAATGGAATTGGAAAAAAAGGTTGCGCACGACAGAGGGTATAACGGTTGCAGGGGCAGGGTTACGAGGAGGACGATGAGTTGGTATATATATATATTTTTTCTTCTTTTTTCTTTCCCCTTCTCATTTTTGATTTTTCGATTTCCTTTTTTAAATAATAATAACGTACAGAGCCGGTCTTGTGTTTGAGGGGCCCTGAGGCGAATGATGAAAATTAGGCCCCCCATCGACAAAATTTAAAGGTGTATTATGCGACTCATTGCTAACTTAAAAAATTAACATTAAAACAACAACGAAATATATTATAGAAACGATTTATATTATAAACCATCAAACCAAAAATTTCAAACAATTAGTTAAATACTATTCGTCTTGCTGTTTTAGAGGCAAAAATATCAATCAAATCTGAATAACTTAGCTGCTTAACCATTTCTTTTTCTATTGATAACATAGCCAACCCGTTTAATCTTTCTTGTGACATAGTTGATCGGAGATAGGTCTTGATCAACTTCAATTTCGAGAAACTTCTTTCCACAGATGCAACTGTAACCGATACGGTTAACAAAATTTTGTAAGCAATATAAGCATTTGGAAAATAAACATCCAATGTCTTCAAATAGTGTAGCACTTCAATTGCTCTTGTTGCTTCATTTGGTAAATAAATCTTCAAGACTTGTAATTCCGAACATAAATCATCTCCATAAATATTCAAAACTTGTAACTATGAACATAAATCATCTCCACCGATGTCCAAAAGCACATCATGTTCAAGATATTTCTCAAGATTCATACAAGAGTTCAACAAACTTGATAAAGTTGCACTCCTTAACCTCTTCAAATTAAACAAAAATCCAAATATATCGTCATATTGTTTGAATTGTTCAAATCGAGTCATCAGAGAAGATAGAGCTTGATCAATTATAAAAACAAAGTACTCAACTCTAAATGATTCTTCTGCTGATTGCTTTACCTCGTTACTACAGTTTTCATCAAATTGCTTTTTTCTTCGAATTATGCATTTTTTGTAAATACAGCTTCAATTCCCATTTCTTTGCCTTTTTTATCGCTTCATCCATGGCAATGGCAAATCCAATTTCTCTATAATTTTCAAGAAATGAAACAAGTCCTTGCAATAGGTCGATAGCATGATTAGTATCCATGGATTCAGTTTGAAGAAATTTACTCACAATATTGACTGCATGCAACAACATGTACCAGATTACCATGCCAAGCAAGAACTCAAAATTCTGAAGTTCATGTGTTGCCAACGACTCGGATTCACTCTTTATTTTAGGATCTTCGTTAGTTTATGCCAAATCAAGTAATGCTTCTCTTATTACCATCTCTAACTTTCAGTTTAAAAATAAGAGAGATAAGAAAATATTTCGTAAAAGTACTAGAAAAAGAAATGGGAAAAATTAAATTCGATCACGTGTCATCATTTGAATGGTTGATTGAACCACACAAGTCTATAAGAATGTCGAACTAGAACTTCTATTCCTCGACTCCTCAATTGACGAGTAGGCTGACTGAAACCTTGTCTCAAACAACATCTTCCTTCTATATCATCGAAGTCAAAAAAAATTTCCAAAATTCTCACCAAATCCAAGAACTAGACATCTGTTAGAATTTTACAGTGTGCAATATTAATTATTATTATTATTATTTTTTAAGAAAACTAGTTAGACTTTCCCTTTATATGTGATCGTAACTAGTATTTTACTCATTTAATTCAACAAGACAAATATGTAGGTAAAGTTTCTAAGAAGTCTATTGATATAAATATATATGCAAATGCATGAAAAGAAAAATAATTTTGGAAATTTTACATAAATAATTAGTTTTCGTGACAAAATTAGGAAGAGTAAAGTTATTCGTAGTCCCTCACTACGGCAGTCACCTTACTAGATTTACACATGGCTAGTGATTATTTGATACATTAATAGAATAATTTTTTATTGGTTCATGCATTAAATAATCATTTACCATGTATATGTCATTGAAGGTAATGTCAGAATAAAAAATTGCGAATAACATTATTCAAATTAAAATAATCAAACAGCATATTTGTAAAATAAAAGAGGCGCACGGAGTCAACGAATGATGAGTTAGCGCACGTGAGAAGCAATCAGTCGGCGAATGGTTAGTAATTTTCCTCTTCTTGTTAGCCCCTATCTTTGAGAAATTATTAAGTTGGCCCCTTACTTTCAATATTTCTCCTCCATTTTAGTTAATTTTTGCAAATTAGGATTACTTTAGTAGTCTATGTAGTTAGGGATAAAATGAAATTGGTTTTGCTGCTAAGTGAGAAAAAGAAAAGTTTCAAATATGCCCAAGAAGTACTAGCTATATCTTATGATTCTCTCATACTCGGGAGGCTACTCATGATATAAAGAAAGATAATGGACATATTTCCTTCATTCTATATTCAAATTTTCGAAGGTGTAACAATTTAACTGTAAAATCAAATATAAAATATTTTGACGTTGTTTATTTTGTTAAAAATTAAATTTTTAGTAAATTTCGATAAAAGTTGACGAAATATGTGTTGATAGAAGTGTAGATCACTTTAAACGTATAACTAAAAATAAGTTTACAAAATAAATTTCAAAAAATAAGGACCAGCAGAGACTAATTTTAAGGTGGGGTGGAGCAATCCTTTTGAAACTCTGAGGGGCTTCTACCATAAACAAAAAAGAAGAGAAGCAGTCCAATACGGTGAACCCAGGTTGAATTGTCGTTTGCGACAAGACAAGAACCATTTGGGCCCAACTTTAACTTTTACAAATTGACAATTTTCATTATTTTTTGGTAATGTTGTTAAGGATGCTAGTTAACTTTTTAGCCCTTGTTTGGTGCAGTTAAAAATTGCTAAAGATAAAAATTAATAAAAATTATGAATCTCATAAAATATATAATTAAATTGAATTGACCTAAATTTTATTTAAATCTATTATTTTACCGTTGTGTCATTTCTATTATTTTGAAGAAATCGAATTGAAACTCAACTGTGCTTTTTTTTAATTATTATGAGCTCGCCATTTTCATCTTTTTGTGATTTTAACAATCAAATCTATAAAAAACACGACAAATAGAGACCCAAAATATTGGACTACGTTATTTTATAAGAGCTAATATTAAATATATCATTAGTTGAATTAGTGTGGTTGTGTAAATATTAAAAAAATTAATTATAGCACGAAACCTAGGAATCGAACCCAAACGATTCCATAAAGAAATGTGAATTCGACCATTCCACTTACTAAATATCTGAAAATTACGAGATTGTGTCCAACCCTACCATAAACGAGCTTACTTTTATTTTGTGTTCTTGTTTCATGCACCAAGATTGGTTGGACAATTTATTTTATTTTATTATTATTATTTATTTATTTTTCTAAATCATGCCAAGAGGTTCAGGTACATCTTTTAGCAATTATATACCTTAAGTTCGTGAATCATGGTTCATTTGATAGCACCAAGATTGGTTGGACAAGATTGGTTAATAGAGTATTGTCACCTTATCCTCTATGATGTTTTCTAATAATTTCATTCATACAATGAGCTTAATACATTAGTATGTATGTACTCGAGATAATCATTCACCAAGTTCGGTGGCCAAAAAATTATGACTCAACCATTCCAAACACATAAATATCAATAAAATAAGTCCCCATCACTGTTGTGAAGTCACATCAACCCTTGGATCTAGTCTTGTACATTCTGCTTATTTTGCACATAAACTCACATCAACCCTTGGATCTAGTCTTGTACATTCTGCTTATTTTGCACATAAACTCATCTTCTTGTCACCATTTTTCACCCTTGAATTTTCAAGTCAACTCATCCAATCCTATCCTTACACCATAGAACTTTACATATGTACTTATATAAATTACACATACACGACCAAATTTATACTAAGCAACGACCATTTTCAGCATAGAATAAATGGCGACCCTATCTCAAATCTTGGCTCATCTTTACACCGCCGCCATAGTTTTCTTCTCCCTTCTATTTCTTGAACTAGTTATTCTTGTACGCGCTGTGGTCGGGACCATTCCCGGCTCCAAGAACCGCCCCATCACCACCACTCAATACCTTAAACTCGTCGAAAGAAAAAACCCGGCCTGTCGGTACAAAACCGGATTAAGGATGGAATCACTGGAGTGTGCAGTTTGTCTGTCCGTGTATGAAGAAGGGGACGAGATAAGGAAATTAAGGAAGTGCAACCACACATTCCACAAGGACTGTGTTGACACGTGGCTGCAGCAAGATCTGGCCACGTGTCCACTTTGCCGGAGCATGGTGTTGCCGGAAGAAGTGGTGGTGAAGCACCGGCGGCACCGGAATCACCAAGAGTTCGACGGAAGTGATGAGGAGCTTATTTTCTTGTTATCTGCATTACATGGTAGTTATATACGTAGATTTTTGTAACACCGATGAGTGAAGGTTTGTTTATCCATTTTTTATTATTATTATTATTTTCTCAATGGTGCTTTGTATATGTGTGTGGATATGTTATAGTCATACTTGTAGCAGTGGTGACCTACCAAAATTAGGTATGACAGGCTTGGTCGAGACCATATAAGGTCGTGTAATATTTTTAAATCGACTATCTAAATATTTATAATATTTCGTTTAATTCGTTGTTTAATTTATTAAAAAATTTGAAACAACTAAATCCAGTATATATTACTGCCTCATTAAGATTTGGTTCTCGATTATGCTTGAAAGTTTTTCTCCGCAAAACATAACTAATGCATAAGGAACTTGAAGGAATAGCCTTCAATTAATTAGAAGGACCTCCTCGAATCAATAATTGAATCAATATTTTGCTTACATATAGAAAGTAATTTAAATCAAATGACGTTAACTAATACAACCAAATATGCATATTATAAATCAGTCATGTCATGGATTTATAATTTATATTTGAATAATTAACACAAAATAATCTTCTCATTTACATGTTTTGCGCAAAATAAAAAATAATCATTTCATTTTATTTTGGCTCAAACCACTCTTAGATCAAACAAATGTTGTGTAAAATAACAGTGTCATCTATTTTGTTCATTATAGCGATATAAAATGACTAATTTACTATATTTTTAAATAAACAAAAAAAAACGAAAGAAACAAAAAATAATAATTATAGTCAGAATCTTAAATTTTTCAAACGTACGAAAGAGTCTCAATAAAAATAACTTTTGAAAAATTGAAATTTCTTTCATCTTCAACCAACCCCTATTCCTTGTCTAACCCCCTTCCACCTCCCCGACCCCATTTCATGTCAAAGTTATCTTTCCTCTCTCTCTTCTGTTTCCGTCAGGACATATATGTCACAGTAAATTGAGGGGGAGAGATGGTGGGGCACGTAAATAGTAGAAAAAGTGGAAAGTTTATCTTTGACATGAAAGGTTGTGGGACTAAATCTTCAGATGGGCGGGCGTACAATTCAATGTCGAGGCGTCACCTCGATGGGTAGTCCACACCCCTCGGGAGTGTGTGGTGGGCCACCCGTCGAGGTGGCGTACTCTGATAGGGCGGTCACAACACCACCACTGAAGTTTCTCTTAACGTTGTGGTGGGTTTGGGCAACAGAATAAATGGACTTTTTAATTTTAATTTTTTATTTTGTTTTGTTTATTTAAAAATGAGAGTATCTTTGTCATTTTATAAGGTTTTAATGGAGAAAATGAATGACAAGATTGTTTTTGCATAATGTTTGCTCGATCCAAGGGAGTATTGTGCCAAAATAAAATAATATGGTTGTTTCGTGCAAAATATGTAAATGATTGAGTTGTTTTGTGTCAATTACCTTTTATATTTACATTTGATTTATAATCTCAAAAATTTGTTCATATAATTAAATTGATGAATTTAATAAATCTTTTTGACTAGTTGTTCTAATAATTTACTCCTCTCCATTGATTTAGCATTATTCTGTGCGTACAGAATAATGCATTACAGGATGGAATCAGAATACTCACATGGGGATCCACCTCATGTGATTAAAATATTACTGGAAAAAATCCATCTATTTCCAATTGTGTGTGTTCTGTAAAATTCTTGTGAAGAAATTTCTGTACGCCAAGTATTTCTCATTGACATTCAAGAGACGTGCCAAACATAAGCAATAAAATTCAAACATTGTTTGATTAATCTAAAGAATACAAGAGTTGTTCTTTTCAAAACTCTATTGATGACCTCTAATTGTGATTTTTCGGAGAAATCATTGTGACATGCATCAAAGCACAACACAAATAGAAAACAAATTGAATAAAGAAAAAATAAATTTACATTATTTGACGAATTCGCCAGCACGAAGGGAGAAAGATAATCAATTCAATAGTCAAAACTTCAATTATAAAAGAAATTTACGCGTCGTTTTTGCCTCTCTGCCGTGTGGTTTGGATTCCCTCTATAGCATCTCACCTCTTTCAAACTTGAACGTAAGCTGCCTTTGTCAATATTTTATTAACTTCTTTTACTCGATCTTCCATGTATCTAGAACCATTGTGACTTTATCTGTCTAATTTCTTATTTAAAAATAATGCTCTTTGAATAGAGGAAATGACAATGATGAGGTGATGGGGTGACAGGGTGGTGTGAGAGACCGTTATTAATTTTTATTTTTATTTTCAAATTGTCTAATCATATATTGACACGTATTTTCTCTGTCATTGAATTTGCCAATTAATAAAAAAAATTAATTTTAATTTGAGTTAAACACCCTCCCGTGTTCCCCATTATTTTCGAATTATTACCTATTTGACATTTGTTCGTTCTTCATTTCTTAAAACTCTTTTTTCTTTTTTCTTTTTTTTTTCAAATTAATTTTTAATCACACATTTTATAAAATTCACAATTTCTTAATTATATATTTTATCAATTTTTATTAAAATCTATTAAAAATTCGATTTTTATCAAAACCACATGGGGTTGGTTTATTAAACTCTTAGTTTTCATGAGCTGAAATCATTCTAAGCCCTTTGAGCTCAATTATAATTAGTTTTACGAAAAAAATATTTTGTAATAATATTTTTTGAAGAATGTGTAATACTATTTTATTGAAGAGCGTGGAGTTAAGAAGAACAAAGAATAATACATTTTGAAATTAATAGAGTCCAAATCGGGACTAAAACTACAAGTTTTACCTTCTTAATTAGATTTCAATGCATTGTTTATATCACATTTATCACTGGATTTGCCACGACGACTATTATCTTGGTTGAAATCATATTCAATAACCTCTAAATACGAGATGCTCTCTCATTTAAAAAATCAATGCTTTAAAATAAGTTTCAAGAAAATCTCTCTCTCTCTCTCTCAAGTTTTTAACTTTTAAAATGGATTTAGAAAGCCAAACGCTCCTATTTTATAATGATTGTATTAAATAATAAAGATTTAAATATTCTACTCTTAAAATTATTTAAACTATATTTAAATTGATGGATCATTTATATGTAAAAAACATGTTAAATTATGATAGCATTGGTTGTCACAACAACCAAGTCATATTCAGTAATAAATAATTGTGGTACAAATTTTATGAATACAAAGATCCCTAGAGACATCTCGTGGCAATCTGGTTGTGCATTTATCTGAGGGAAAATCTCATGAGTAAAATATTAAGTATGACTTATTTTAAAATAAAGAAAACAAGTTTCAAACTTTTAAAATTAGATTTTTATTAAATTTTATTTATGATTTAACTAAATATATTTAGTTCACATATCTATACAATTTGGTCACAGATTAACAATTTAATTAGTCACTTATTATTTTTTGGTCACAAATCAGAAATTTTATGTCATAAATTCAAAAAATTTGTAGGTCACAATTTGTTCATCGATTACAAATAAAAAAATTAATTAGTCACGACTTATTTTTCGGTCACAAATCAAAAAATTTATAGGTCACATTATTTTTCGATCACGAATAAAAAAATTATATGTTACAGATCACAAATATTATAGGTCACAAATTATTAATTTTTTAGGTCACATTTTTTCTTTTTCACAATTTATCTTTTTCATTGGTCACATATTATTTGTTGATCACAGATTAACCAGTTCACTGGTCACAATCAATGAAATAATTTATGACCATCACCAATATTTACGACCACCACTTTAATGCTGCCTCCAACACCACCACCACCACTGTCACCACCAAAACCACCACCTCATTGAACACAAATTAACAAATTGATTGGTCACAACTTTTAGTCAACCAATAAAATCGTCACATACACTCACACCCCATCCTACCACTCCAAAGCACCGCCGCCGCCACCACGTACACCAGCAACGATTCAACCCTGCCCCACCACAACAAGCCTTTAATCTCTACCACACCAAAACCACGATCCTCACCCAAAAAAATCTCCAAAAGCCAACACCATTGCCTTTGTAACCAATGATTCAGCCCCAAAACACATCACACGCTAACAAAGAGACATAGATATCACGCAGTGGAAGAACGACGAGGCATCACTTCACCATCACAGCAACACAGCTTCTCACCATCACCTGCACCACCCGCGATTCAGCCTTGCCACCACCACAACAAGCCTCTAATCTCTACCACAACAAAAATACAATCCTCACTCAAAAAAATCCCCAAAGCAACAACCACGGAATCACCGCCCCCTTTGTAATCAATGATTCAACCCTAAAACACATTACTTCGTCATAGTTTCGTGCAACCAATGGAGATCGTCGTCATCATTTCATGCTACCAAACAGATCTCCTTGTCACTTCGTACTACAAGCACAACCTAACTTCTCAAGAGCATGCTGCCAACTAGAGCATCGCTACCGCTGTGTGCAACAAAGGTACAAGAGATTGAGAGGAGAGTGGTGAGAAGGTTAGATTGTCACTAGAGAAGAGAGTGAGGGATAGAGAGAGAGACGAGCAAGGGACAGGAAAGAGCTGGTAGTGGATAGTGACGGCGTGGTAGTTTTTTTTTTGGTAATTGGTTTGTTTAAATAATTAATAAAAAAATCTGATTTTTGAAATATCAAACTTTCAATCTGATTTAGGAATATTATATAGTTAATATATGGTTTTGTGTAATTTTCACTTGGGAAAATTTCATAACTAAGAGGTAAAGTATCATCTATTTCAAAACTAAGAACACAAATTTCAAATTTCAAAAATCAGATATTTATTAAAATTTATTTATGATTTAATTAATTAATTATATATTTTATTAATTAAATATATTAATGTCACGGACCTATATAATTTGATTACAAATTAACGATTTAATTAGTCACATATTATTTTTTTTATCCCAAATCAAAATTTTATATGTCACAAATTATTTACAATTCAAAAATTTTATAGGTCATAATTTGTTTGTCGATTACAAATCAAAAATTTTGAAGTCACAATTTATTTATCAATTATAAATTACAAATATTATAAGTTATAACTTATTATATAATAAAAATTATCAAATTATCGATTATGAATTAACAATTTTTTATATCATAAATTATTTTTTAGTCACAATTTATCTTTTTCATTGGTCACAATCAACCAAATAATTTGTGACCACCATCAATACTTGCAACTACCACCTCACAACTGCCTCTAGCAGTAGCAACACCACCATCGTCGTCGTCGCCAAAACCACTACCAGCTCAAACAAGTCAACACATTGCAAAAAAACCATATAAAAAAATAATAACCACCACATCGTGCTAGATCCACCACCACCTCGACAGACCAATCACCACGCCATCCCACCCACAATCACCGCACCACCGTCGCCACTACCAAAATCACCGTCATAGCCAACATCACAACCACTACCAAAAAATCAAATCCAAAATTATCAATTACGACCATAGCCCCCATTACCACCACCGCCACCACTTCCAGGTACCCCAAAAACTTCGGCACTCAAAACTCTAGATTTTTTCCAGATTGCACAGTGGCAGCCGCAGCAACGGTGCTCATGTCGCACAATGCCACCCAAAATCGATACCACAATCACCATCGCAATCTCACCACCACTGCCAACAAAACACACTCTAAAATCACTTCACATCCACCAAAGAATTAGATACAAAATAATGCACAACTACTGCATAACCAAATTGAAAATCATTGTATAACCATTAGTCACAAAACCAAATCCGATCATTGAGGTTGCAGTAGCGGTACTAGTTGCTTCAGAGTGACATTGCTGCGGTGGTGGTGACATTTTTGAGTGTTAAGCCGCAGTGCCAAAGTAGCTTCAGCGATGAATCATCACTTGACCTGCGGTGTAGCGACGAAGCACTGCTCGACCTGCAGTGCATGCGATTGGCAAATTACTATCGATGACGGTACTCGAATTCTCGCACGCTGCTCCGATGTCTGGTGGCTACGACAAGATAGAGAGAAGGAGAGTAACGAGAGAATTGGTTGAAAATGGGGAAGGGAATGAATATTAAGGGTTTGAAGTGTGGCTATTTAATTAATTCAATAATATATTATTATTATTTAATATTAAAAATTGTATTATTATCTTATTTTTGTATATATAAACTATGCTTCTGATTTTTGGAATGCAATATTTAAAAGTAGGTCTCTATGTATTTTCCACTTTTCACTTTATCTAAATCATTAACTATGGGCCAAATGGACCAATTACTATATAGTAATGGACCAAGTCATTAATTGATCCGTTTATTTATTTTTAGTGAAAATTACACCAACACATGAATTTTAACTTTCAATTTCAAAAATCAAACTTACAACTTATTTATTTAAGATTCAGGTAAATCAATTTTTCAATATTAATAATAATATCATTAAATTAAATTAATCTATCACTTCACCCCTACCCTCCCAGCCTCCACACAAATCTTAATTCATTTTAAAAAACTATCCATCACCATATAACTGCTTCATTTCTCCCACAAAATGACTCATCGCAACCAGGCCCGGTCCTGAGGCTAGGCGGATGAGGCCTGTGCCTCAGACCCAAAATCCAAGGGCCCTCGTTTTGTTGGCCCATTTTTTTATTTTTTATTTTTGGAGTATGGCAGCCCAGGCTCCAATTAGCCCAAAACTCTCAACCTCAAGCCCAGCAGCCCACCCGAAACCACTAAACCCGATCCACTATCTAATTCCAATTTCCCCCAAATGCCAATTGAATTCTATTTTCCCCCAAATCGGCATTTGGCAAACCGGTGAAACCGCAAATGCCTTCCGTCGCCAGTGAGCCCTCCCCTCTCCGTCTGAACTCTGAAGTGCCAATGTGCGGCTGTGCCATCTCTGAGTCTCTCTCGCTCGACGCTTCGAGGCCCTCGACAGTCGACTCGACATCTCCTTAACTCCTTCTTCCACTTCCAAGTTCAACCCTAGGTATCTCTGATCTATTTCTCGGACTCTCTTGGCTCTCATAATACAAATGCATACACTATAGGTCCTGAGGCCAGGCGGTCAGGCCCAAAATCTTGATGTGGTTTGTTTGATTTTTAATTTTATTTGGAGTAGGCTCTAATGGCAATGCCAGCACCCGATTTCAACCTTTGTCTCTTTTTAATCCCTAAAAGAGTGGTACTTTACTGATTCTCATCACATTTCTTATGATCCTAAACTTGTAATTCTGTAATTATAGTATTTTTGGTGTACTTTCAAGAATTTACGTAGTACTTCTTCATTGATTTTTATATTTTATAATTAATGCATTTGAAGATTAGTGCCTATTTTATTATTGTTGGTTATTGTACTAAGCAATGTCAAGTTACTGTTTACGAATGACAGTGAACCTCATTTTCCAAAACTGTTCATAATGCAAATGCGAATTAATTAAATAGAGGGACTGTTGTTTGGTAATAATTGGGAAGTCAGAAATAGGATTAGAAATGACCTAATTCGAATTGTATCTAATTATTGATAACTTTCAATTGCATCCCTCCCAGCAAAAGTTTTTTCCACAATCACTAGGTTAACTTTTAGGAATTTTGTAGCTGTGAATTACTATCGTCTTAGATGATTTTCTAACTGCACAGCAGCAGCTATAGGCCTCGTCCTCATACCAAATAGTAAAACTAACATTTTTCATATTCTAGTCATATTGCCGTTCCAAATATATTCTTGGATATTCTAGTCATATTGCCGTTCCAAAGATATTCTTGAAGTACTGTCTTATTAAGAGTTTCAGACTTGGAATTGTAAAATTTTTTGTTTGTGAATTGGCAAAATTTGTGTTTAATTGTGAAATATTAGATTCTTCATTGCAAATGGCAGTCTTGATAAATTCTATGCTATTCCTTTTACCATATGAACGAGCATTTTAAGTCCATTGGTTTCTGGATGAGAGTGAGGAATTTGAGCAGACATCACATATTATAGCTTTTATTATATAAACCTACCAAGTAAAAAATTATTGGGCTAATACCATTCTTTTTACGGATCACCACAAATAATAAAGTCCACTTTGCTTTAGAGCTATTTATGGAGAAAATGAAATTATCATCAAGATGTGAAATTTTTTGTTTCAGGGGTGGGAGTTGTGAGCTTGTGATAGTGGAATTCTTGAAGGTGTAACTCCAAAGTTTTTGTCGAAATTCTACTTGTCAGGTAAGCAATGGCTTGCCTTAACTTGTTATTGAAGAAATTGAAAATGTTTGAAACCTTGTCGGCTTATATAATTGTGGCCTGGTCGGCTTATATGATTGACTATTAGAGGATCAACAATTGCACAGGCGCACATAATAACTATATTGAAAACTCTAACTGTTTGATGATTTGAGATATTTTGTAATTATTTTTTAGGTTAATCATTGAGCATCAAATATAGACTCATACATCATGCCTCCTAAATATGAGTCTGGTGCTCAAAAGAGAAAAAGGAAACGAAATGAGATTTCATTAATTCAAAGTCAAGCGGGGATATTGGCAGGTACTTTAAAAGCAACAATATGAATACGTTGAATGAGGATGAAGTAGAGATTCAACCTGCATGTGTTAATGAAGTAGATGATAAGGATGAAGAAGTGAGTCAATCTGCCTACGTTGTAGTAGATGATAAGGAAGAAGAGGTGATGAAACATGCATGTGTTAATGAAGTAGATGACAAGAAAGAAGAGGGTTGCTCTTCTCTAAATTTGGATGATCCCAGGAATTGGAAAATTATTGATCAGAGAATAAGGGATTACTTAGTTGAAAGGGGTCCAAAAAGAGTTGATGACATCTCGTTTCCGAAAGATTGTACAAATAGGCATTTTGATTCTTCACAATATAAGCGATTGCTACGAAATGGGCAAACAATTGATAGAAGATGGCTAGTCTATTCAATATCTATGGACATGATCTTTTGCTTTTGTT